TAGTATTCGGTTTGTTCTCTTAATTCTGAAAATTGTGGCGTCCATTACTGATTTCCATTATTCAGAAATGCCGTAAATACTTGTTACTTAGTTTTCTCTGAACTATTCGATCGAAAAGCAGTATCAAAAAAAGGCGGCCAACGAGGAAGGCAATAAGGTAATATAAAAATCCCATAATAACATGTTTTTGCAAAACTTAAGCTGTGGTCACGTGAACGTCAGGCTGTCAAATGGGAGTAATATTTGCATTATTTATTCAGTTACCTTATTTTACTTATGGTTCACTGCGTATGGCATCATTATCAAGGTCTACCAATGATACCGCGTCTAGCAACAAATGTTATGCTCACTGTATGTGTTTTCTATTCGCGGTCGCTGGAGGTATTCTGTGACATTCCTGTCTACAAACATTAGTCTAATTTTACCCAATTCAAAGAAAAATAGAAAGAGTTTCTAAGCAAGAGTGTTTCCGACTTATCAGGGTCGTGAGCTCCTAGTTTCGAACCTTGGTGTTATGCAGCTTACTAGGGTTTCAATTACTTTAATATATTGTAAAATTGTATTTTAAGAGGCCAGATCAATCAAAGACAAAGTCTGGAAGGTTAATGAAGTTTTGAAAAAGCGCACCTTGATTTTGATCAACTTGGGCTTGATTTCCGATTTCCAAGAAATTGGACGATATTTCCTAGTCCCAGGGACTCTAAACTAACTCGTGATGACCTTGGTTTTCAGTGAAATCGACAGGAGAAAAATAATTGAACGCTCGGACTATTTGAATCATTGACAGAACACGCCAATCTACTTTGTTTCTAGCAAAATTTCCGCCTAATGGCAACCGCACAAGGAGTGACAGCGGAAGTAGACATGATTTAGTTGAGTTTAATTTGGCACTGAATTATTAACATTTACAACTTTTGAGCTGTTTACTGTGCCACGCAGCAACTGATCTATTTGGAATACAAATACATATGCACCAAGAATGGTGTTGTTGACCTCTCCGAAAAAGAATGTTCCATGAAATTTTTCACAGCGCGGGGTTGATCCACGCATGTCTAGTGTTGTGCTTCTGAATACTTCAAGCCGTAATCTG